GACTCTGAGAAACAAACTGAGGGTTCTAGAGGGGAGGGGTGTGGGGGATGGGTTAGCCTGGTGATGGGTATTAAAGAGGGCACGTATTGAATGGAGCACTGGGTGTTACATGCAAATAATGAATCATGGAACACTACATCAAAAACTAATGATGTAAGGTATGGTGATTAACATAATAAAATTTTTAAAAAATCTGTTTTTTAATCATTCAAAAAAAAAAAAAGTAACTATCACTGACAACTATACCATCCCACTTCCCTCTGTTGATCAAAGAAAATGCTCTTCAGATTTTGAGGGCAATAAGTGAATGGAGGTGGCCAGCAACACCATCAAACATGTATGATACTCATTTTTATAATTATCATGATAAATACTATTTCTGAAATGGAAGGCAAAGCAGATAACCAAGCAGTTTAGATGGGGAATTAAGTTTTCTTTATATAGGTTTTAAGGTTGAGGAAAAAGAAAGAAGTTAAGGGGAAAAAAAAAAAAGTAAAGAACACAATTTTCAAAATTCAAACCACTGCTCTGCCATGTACAAGCTACATGAATCTCTGACCTCAGTTTTCTGATCTGTAAAATGGATACAATAGCTACCTCAGTCAGAGCTATTATAAGAATCAAATAAAATCACATGTGAAGTATGTGGTACTTAGTAAGTAAGAGTGGTGACAGTAATACTGATTATTTGTGATTATCACTATCAGTAGCACCAGTATCCCCATCAACATGTAAGTCACATATTCCTGTTCCATCACAACACCAAACTCTTTCTTGATCTCTTTCAAAATGCTGCTACCATCTTCCTATAGATCCACTGAAAGATAATCTATAGCAATTTATATATTCAAAAATTAGAAAGATATAGGGGCGCCTGGGTGGCTCAGTCATTAAGCGTCTGCCTTTGGTTCAGGTCATGATCCCAGGGTCCTGGGATCGAGCACCACATCGGGCTCCCCGCTCAGTGGGGAGCCTGCTTCTCCCTCTCCCCTGCCTGCCGCTTCCCCTGCTTCTGCTCTCTCTCTCTCAAATAAATAAATAAAATCTTTAAAAAAAAAAATTAGAAAGATATTTATGCTTTTCTAATTCTTTTTAAAAGAAATGTTTATCAAAAGCAAATTATCTATAAATATGTTGTCTCTAACTCTATTAAAAGGCCTTTTTGTTTCAGAAAAATGGTTTGTTTAATTTAATTACTAAATCTAAATCATCAAATTATCCATGTAATAAAAGTTTAACAAGAGTGATTAAGCTAGCATTAATGAAAGATTCTCATTAAAAATTACTATGGATGAAGGTTATATAAGGAATTATGAGATCTTGCTGAAGCAAACATGATTATTAGTTTAATAAATAATTTCCTAAGACTAAAAAGAGAATATAAACCAAAAAATTAGAGCTGTTAACATTGTAGCTGCAACTTCTCATGCTCTTTCACTATGGATATTATTTCATTAGAAAAATATATAATTTAGGGGCGCCTGGGTGGCTCAGTTGGTTGGGCGACTGCCTTCGGCTCAGGTCACGATCCCAGGGTCCTGGGATCAAGCCCCGCATTGGGCTCCCTGCTCGACGGGAAGCCTGCTTCTCCCTCTCCCACTCCCCCTGCTTGTGTTCCCTCTCTTGCTCTCTCTCTGTCAAATAAATAAATAAAATCTTTTAAAAAAAAAATTAAAATTAAAATAAAAAAAGAAAAATAAATAATTTAATTATGGATTTCATGATGGCATAAATATTATCTATTCACTTACCGTACTAGAAAATGCCAGCCGAGCTAGAGGTTATATACTGGATTAAATAACTGGCAAGGAATGACTGCAAGGAGAGCAGCTAAAGTTACTATTCCTTGTGTGTCTTCTACATGAAATCCCCAGAGGTCACAGCAAAGGCAGTGTTAAGAGAAAGGAGTGAGAAGAAAGTTTTTAAACATACCTCAAATAATCCACGATCAACTGGGAAGAGTCTTCTCAGAACCTGCTGCGTTTGCTCCCTTTCTGTAAAGAATGGCAGCCAGCAGAGAATGAAGGAAGCCACAACTGTACAAGCTAGCTTAATTAACAACACAAACCTAGAACAAAAAAACAAAGGTACCCAGTTAGACAGGGAGAGGTTAATAATTCTGAGAAATCAGTCTCAGTCTCACTAAAGTTAATAATAAATACAAATGTAATGATAAATCTATGCTACTAACAAAGGCTTAATATGGGAGTCTACTCAAATCAGAGTTAAGAAATTCACAATTATTAAGATGTATAGCTCTCCAACAAAATGACTATCACCATCTTAATTAACATTTAACTTATACGCCTTTCCAATGCAGCCATGAAGAAAAATGTCAAATTGGGATGTATTTCTAAAAATATAAAATGTAATATGGGTGAAATCCATAGCAATGCTCTAACAAGCCAATCCACATTACCTCCAGTAAGTGTACATTGATCAAAATATTTCTCTAGTTAGGAAAATTTAAAATAAAATAATAGAGAACATGACTTAATCTCTCTTCCAACTCACCCCATGGTCAACACGTTAATAAAAAATCACCTAAAGGCAAAATGAAAGACCATCTTCTTTCTGGTAAGTATGCCAAATAAATTCTCTGAAGTACTTTTTTAAAATTCTGATGTTTAAAAGCCACTCACCCCTTTCCTTTCAGGCCTTTTTTAAAACACTTGCCAAGTAAGAAGCAAAAAAATGGCAAGGAGTGGTAAAGTTCCATCTGTTTATAATTTATAGCTAAGCAAAATGCCAGTGAGCCTAGCAGGTCCCAGTCACAAGATACTCCAAGAACACCCCACAAAGCAAAGCCAAGACTCACAGAATTATATATGTTCCTATGTCAAGGAAATTAACTCAATAATTAAAAGAGATAGATCTTGCATTTTATAGAGCATATTTTTATGTGATTTTAAAATAATATATAATGAAGGCTATTTCTAAACAGAAATTGTAAGTATTGAAGTGATAAACTAATATGAAACAGTATATAATGGCCTCAAATATATTAAAACGACTGCTAAACAGAGCAACTGATTTGTTTAGATTTAAAAGATCACTAAATAGTTAACACATAGCTTTGTTTCTGCTAGATTATTGCACAGTATTATTATAACATACCAAAATCTAGAGAAAACAATGTTCCAAAGTAAAACACACACACACTTACTGATATTATCATACTTTCGTCTATAATATGCATCAATATTATAAATTAATATATGTTCTTGATCAGAAACTAATAACCTTATTATAGTAAAACAATATCACAATTAGATTTTGCAGTTCAAAATGGTTGAGCTGAGCTCTCACGTTTACCTCTTCTTCCCGAGACCCCCTTAAAATGATAGGGAATTTTATTTATTTTTTATTTTTTTAAAGATTTTATTTATTTATTTGACAGCATGAACACAAGCAGGGGGAATGGCAGGCAGAGGGAGAGGGAGAAGCAGGCTCCCCACAGAGCAGGGAGCCCAATGAGGGGCTCAATCCCAGGACCCTGGGATCATGACCTGAGCCAAAGGCAGACACTTAACCGACTGAGCCACCCAGGCACCCTTGTAGGGAATTTTTAAAAGTAAATATTCACAGCTGTAAGGAGAATAGGAAGATGGGTTACAACAGATGAAGATTTCAACACATTTCTAGAAGACAGAGGACACAGAAGCATAACAAATAAAATAGGATGAAAGAAGCCAGAGCTTAGAAAATGCAGAAGAAGCCTGAGCAAGCAAGGAACCAATCCATTCTGCAAGCCCCTAGAGAACCAAGAAACACCAAGTAGGTTAGAGTGCTTGAGTAACAGGTTAAAAAGAAAACAGGAGGATTAAATGAAAATGCCTACATGGAGACGTCCAATTCCACCTTACTCCTGTGCAGAGAAGTCACATGCAACTTTTTCTTCTGCCTTATTCTTAAATAAGAATAGATACATTAGGATCAAACAGACATTTTAGAAAACCCTATAACAAGAAAAAAAAACAAAATGAAAAGGGGAAAAAAACTGACCCTAGAAGAATGGAAATAATTCAAGGAATAGTAGAAAAAAAGAGTAAATTCTAATTTAAGATGGGATTAATAAAATAAATGAAATTTCATAGAAGTATTAGAGATAAAGTCATGATCATTTAAACCATAAAAAAAAGATGAAGAGATGCTCAAGACAGAAGTGAAGGGGCACCTGGATGTCTCCGACAGTTAAGCAGCAGACTCTTGATTTCGACTCAGGTCATGATCTCAGGGTCATGAGATCAAGCCCCACATAGGGCTCCACGCTCAGTGGGGAGTCCGCTTGGGATTCTCTCTCTCCTTCTCCCTCTGCCCCTCCCCCCACTCACATGCACATGCTCTCTCTCACTAATAAATAAGTAAATCTTAAAAAAAAAAGACAGAGGTGTAAGCTTTAACATCTGTCTAATAAACTCAAGAAAGAATAAAGTGAGAAAATCATCAAAGAAATAGAATTTCCCAGAACTGAAGAACATGAGTCTTCAAAAAGAATGACTCACAGAGTATCCAAAACAATTGTTGCAAACACCTATGCCTAAACAAATCATTGTTAAATTTCAGAGCCCAAACAATAAAAAATAGTAACAGCAACAGCAGTAACAACAGATAAAAATAGCAATACTGGTATAGAGCTTAATATCTCCCAGGTACTGTTTTATTTATAAATAATAATTAAATAATAATTCACTTAATTCTCAAAACAAGCATACAGGGGCGCCTGGGTGGCTCAGTCAGTTAAGTGTCTGCCTTTGGCTCAGGTCATGATCCCGGGGTCCTGGGATCGAGCCCCACATCACATCGGCCTCCCTGCTCAGTGGGGAGTCTGCTTCTCCCTCTCCCTCTGCCCCTCCCCCTGCTTGTGGTCTCTCTCTCTCTCAAATGAATAAAGTCTTAAAAAAAAAAAAGCATAAAAAGTGGGGCACGTGGCTGGTTCAGTCTGAAGAGCACTGATTCTTGATCTCGGGGTTGTGAGTTCAAGCCCCACGTTGGGCACAGAGATTACTTAAACAAATCAGTAAGTAAACATAAAAAGGGGCACCCAGGTGGCCTTCGGCTCAGGTCATGATCCTGGAGTCCCAGGATAGAGTCCCGCATCGGGCTCCCTGCTCAGCAGGGAGTCTGCTTCTCCCTCTGACCCTCTTCCCTCTTATGTGCTCGCTCTCTCATTCTCTCTCAAATAAAATGAGGAAAGTACCTAGTGGTTAAAAAAATGTGTCCCTACAAAATGACATAATCCCAAAAGCTTCAAGACTTTGATTTTAATCACAGAGGAGATACCACTACAAATTCACCAGAATGGTTAAAATGAAAATGACTGACAGCTGGTGAAGATGAGCACCTGGAAATTCCACATTGCTTCTAATGGGAGTGTTAATTGGTATAACATGCTTAAAAATCATTAGGGAATATCTGAAATTAAACATGTGCATACCTGGGGTGCCTGGGTGACTCAGTCAGTTAAGCATCTGGCTCTAGATTCAGCTCATGACCTCAGGGTTGTGAGATCGAGCCCTGCGTCAAGCTCCACACTGGGCATAGAGCATGCTTAAGATTCTCTCTCTCTCTCTCCCTCTGCCCCTCCCCACCTCTCTCCCGCTCTAAAAAAAAATAAACATGTGCACACCCTATAACTCAGCAATTCCACTCATAAGAAATATATCTAGGGCACCTAGGTGGCTCTGTCAGTGAAGCGTCTGACTCTTGATATCAGCTTGGGTCTTGATCTCTGGGTCATGAGTTCAAGCCCTGTGTTGGGCTCCACTTAAAAAAAAGAAAAAACAAAAAAAATATATATGTAATGTGTACAAAGAGACATTTACAAGAATGTTCATAGCAGCATATTCATCATAGCCAAATCCTGGAAACAATCCAAATGTCTCTCAGTAATAGAATTATGTGTATTCACTCCATGGAATATAGAGCAATGTAAGTGAACAAGCTACAGCTACACACAAGTACATGAAAAACTCTCACAAATGTTGAACCAAAAATACCAATCACAAAGGAATACCTATTGTGCTGTTTCTCTTCTAGAAAGTCCAGAAAAGGAGGAAAACTAAACTATAATATTAGCAGTTAGTATGTGGCTATCTTTGGGAAAGAAAGACAAAAGCACTTGGCAGTTCTACAAGTGTAGATGTTGGATAAAAGCAACATTCAGTTTTTTTGACACAGGTAATAGTTTGTCAATGCACTGAGCTACACATTTACATTTTGTGCACTTTTCTATATGACTGTTACATTTCAAAGTAAATACAGTTTTAAAAATCTTGTAACTTTTTTCTTTAAATCAGTGTTCTTGATATTACCAGAGTATCAGATGGCCATGATCCCAAAATGCAAAACAAAGAAACGAAAAAGTCAACTTGGAAAGTGGACAGAATAAAAACTCTGATTTAAATCTTTTGCAAGTCTTTTGACAAATACACATATTAAATTTGTTATAACTAAAACAGATTGGCTTCAAAAGGAAAAGCTATTAATCAATCATGTTGCTGCGGATTATCTTTTTTTTTTTCTTTTGGGGACAGATGGGGACAGACAGTAACAGTTCACACATCAGAAGACAAGCTGGAGAGCCATGTCCAGATTTTATCAACTTTCCTCTAAGATTTGTTTGAATGCTCCTTATTTTACACTTCAAAAAATTACATGCATAAAATCCACATAAATTATAATTATTCAATTTTAGTTCCCCAAAGCTGCAGTTACCACTATCTGTAAGAGAAACACTTTGGTTTAAAACTCGAAAAACTGTAAGATTGTTTTCCTTTTGTCAGTGCTGGATGACCTTTACAAAAGACAGAAGATAGGTTACACCTCTTTAGAATTAGGAGAACATAACCATACTTGCACTCTTTTCCCAACTCTCCAGAAGAGCGAATCCATGACCCACATTTTGTTCCCAAGCTAAAGGGTGTAAAACAGCAATTCTACTTTCAATAAATCTGTACTTTACCCTTAAAATAAAAGCTTGGTGAAAAGAGTCTTTTATATTGTTGTGAAAAATAGTTCATATAAGCAAGTACCCTAGCAAATAAGACATTACTGGATGACAACATTATACACACTAAGCCCAGATTTCAAAAATACGCATCTGACTTCATTTCTAAATTAGTAAAGGATACTGAAAATGTCCATAGTCGATAAGAATAAGGCCTGGATACAGCAATATGCATAATGCATGAGCAATCTGTAAAGAAAAATATTGTGAGAAAGAAATATTGTTACTCAAATCAAACAGGGTAAAACTGTTGTTTGATTTAACACAGCAAATGTCCCCCCCCACCTTCTATTTACCAAAATATTCCTATTTACAAAACAATTCTCTAAAGACTGAAGTTTTCATGGAGGTGACATACGATACCTCAGTAAAAAGGAAAAAAAAAATCACTAAAAGATATTTGTCAGAGAAAGCACTTAATAGATATACAAATCAAAGAAGTTAATCTAATGATTGACCCAAAGGAATATCGGTTAAATGGAATAAGAGAATATACAATGACTTCTCAAAATTCCTTCCAGTTTAGTCATTCTCACAAGCCAATTCAAAATTCAGATTTACCAGTAAAGCCATAAATTCAGCATGCTGTCAATTCAGCAGTACATAACTTCTCAAATTCAATGCATCTTATTACTAGAGTCGAACGTTAAAATTATTAGTCTAAGATAAGTTGATGTTTTCTAAATGAAAATTAATTAACAAAAGAATCACTGCTCTACAACAGCCTATTGCCCAGAGCATGGCTTCTATAAGCTCTATACTTTAATAGTTAAGCCAATAAAACATTTCAGAGATGACATTTCAGGCTGCTTTAAGACTTACCTTTTTCTTGGTTGAGATTTCTTTTAAACAACAACAGTATAACACCACTGCAGGTATATAAATCAGCAAATCAGCAATTAACACTGAAAAAGCAAGTAAATCATTTTAAACATGAGTCCATTAGGATTTACAATAACCTATTAAGTGCCAACCTCCCCGCTCCAACCTCGAGTGGGAATTCTGTTAACAGAAGGCTCTCACCCACTCTGGACAAGGCCTTTACATCTAGCCCTTTCCATTCATTCCCTTCACCTGTGCCTAATTTCAATTGCTATGGTGCTACAATTATGATTAAGAGTCCCCTAATTTTCTCTAACAAATTCACATATTAAATCAGTTAGATGTGTCCAAAACTAATTCCCTCTTTGCTCTGAGACTTAAGAATACTCAAAGAAAAGGAAAACATTTTTTCCCCAGCATCTGTATACTCCAAATTATCTGGTGTGAAGTGTACCTCAAATGTGGCAAATCATGTAAGAATCCTTCTTAAATGTTAATATTTATAAAAACTGCATAAACTTTTGCTAATTAATGCATATAAAGAGCTTGACAGACCCAGGTAAGGAGGAAACTGAAAAAAAAAAGTTTAAAATTAAAAAAAAAATTCATAATTTGGAATGTTCAGTCCTTTTAGAACAAAGAAAAACAAATACATTAAGTTCTTCAACAGTACAAAATAGCTATCCAAAGGGCCTATTTTTTTCTTGTTCCACACTAACTATGGTGTCCAGAATAAAGTAAATGACAGTAAACCGTCAGTTTTAGATGCATGCAATCTATTTTTAACTCTAGCTGCCACATTTAGGGTGACACTGACAAAATGGAATATATTCAAAGGAGCACAACCAGAGGCCTCAAGTCATAATGATACTCAACAAGCTGGCCATCTAAGAAATAGTTAATGTATCTAAGAATATTTAACCTGAAGAAGAGGTGACTTCAAATGTTTGTAGGGTGTTAGGTATACAAAGGATCAGACTCGTTCTATGTAGCCCAAGGAAACAGAACCTAAAGTGATGAGTGGAGGTATAATGTAAGAAGGAAATGTTTAGGGGTGCATGGGTGGCATAGTCGGTTGGGTGACCGACTCTTGGTTTCCAATTCGGTCAAGGTCTCAGGGTCGTGAGATCAAGCCCTATGTTAGGTTCCACACTTGGCATGGAGTCTGCTTGGGATTCTTTCTCCCTCTCCCTTTGCCCCTCCCACTCATGCACATTCTCTATCTTTCAAAATAAATAAATCTTCTAAAAAAGAAATAAAAGAAGGAAATGTTTAATGATTAGGGCTCTCTGAAAATAGAAAAGACTGTTTCTAAAGGTTGTGAGTTCCCTGCAATACAGGTATTGGTTCAGAAGTTAAATAATCTTCCAGTGATTATGCAGTTCAGAGAAGATTAAAGCACTGATGAGGGGGAAAGGAGAGTGGTATGGCAGCGGGAACAACAGGCAAAATAATCTCTTGGGCCTGAGATTCCATGACTGGATGAATGATAAAGAGAACAAACTCTGAGTAAATTCAGACTAAGGAAAAGGTATACAGGGGCATTAAAGTCTAAGTCATGCAAAGCTTTTAAAGAAATTGGGATGCGGGGGGAGGCCCTGGGTGGCTCCGTCAGTTGAGCATCTACCTTCAGCTCAGGTCATGATCCCAGGGTCCAGGGACTGAGCCCTGCATTGGACACCCTGCTCAGCAGGGAGTCTGCTTCTCCCTCTGTCCCTCACCCTGCTCTCATGCTCTCTCTCTCACTCTCAAATAAATAAAATCTTAACAAAAAAAAGAGTCCAACTCTTGATTTCAGCGCAGGTCATGATCTTAGGGTTGTGAGATGGAGCCCTGCATCAGGCTCCACGCTCAGCTGGGAGTCAGCTTGAGATTTTCTCTCTCCCTCTCCCTCTGCCTCTCCCCCTGCTCAGGCTCTCTCTCTAAATAAATCTTTAAAAAAATTAAGCAATTAGGGGCACCTGGCTGGCTCAGTCAGAGGAGCACACAATTCTTGATCTTGGGGTGGTAAGTTTGAGCGCCACACTGGGTGTAGAGATTACTTAAGTAAATAAACTTAAAACAAAGCTTTTAAAGAAATCTAATCTTATTACTTTCAAGCTCTTAGAACACCACACAATACACCACACAATAGATGTTCAATAAACATTTGTTGAGGCGCCTGGGTGGCTCAGTTGGTTAAGCGCTGCCTTTGGCTCAAGTCATGATCCCAGGGTCCTGGGATCAGGTCCCACATCAGGCTCCCTGCTCCTCGGGGAGCCTGCTTCTCCCTCTCCCTCTGCCTGCCGCTCCCCCTGCCTGTGCTCTCTCTCTCTCTGTGTCAAATAAATAAAGAAAATCTTTAAAAAAATAAAAATAAAATAAACATTTGTTGAATGGATTATGTAATTTAGCAAAAATGCACAGCAATACAATGTATGAGATACAACCAAAAGGTTTACTTTAAGAAAAAGGTTAAAGGGATGTGGAATTAAGATAGTAAAGCAGCAGCTAAACAACTAAAACTTCAATATATGGCTATCTGACCTCAGGTAAGCTATTAGCATCATTCAACTGTGCCTCTACCTCCTCAGATTAAAGTAAGGATAATAACAATATTTAGCTCATTTGGGTGTTAGAAGAATTGAGATAATAATAAGTGAAAAGCACCCAGAATGATTCCTTTCTATTCTTTTGTCTTTAGCTTACATAAACATTTGGTCTTGTATTATACATATATATGTATACATATAGTTATACAATATTAAAAGTCAGTAAGAACAATAGAACTTTTTATCAGTTTGTCCAAAATATTTTTTTAAATCAAAATTTGATTCAGAAAATCAACACTTTGTTGCTCTTTTACCTGTGGTGCGCATAAAGAGCTTATGTGCCTGACTCTCATATCCACGTGATGAATGGAGAGCAATCCAGTCTGGATTTATGAACTTTGCCCTGAAAATCAAAGCATATATACATATACAGTATTACTTGTCACTTTCAGCAATAACAACATCTGAGGACATATGAATCTATCTCAAGAAGTGGCCATTGCTCTAATAAAGTGAGAGAGTCAAGGCCTAAGCTTTACTTTTTTTATTTAATCATGTGAAACTGACTTAAGCTATAACACAGGGTCTACCTCACTCACCTTCCAACAAAACCATGTAACACGTCACAAAAAGCCCTACCTTCACAATTCTTTCAGTGTAAAAACAATCTGATGTGTCACATTTCATTATTTATTTATTTATTTGATTTATCCTTTGGTTACTACTGAAGGATCATGTTTTATAGTTTATAATCTTCTCAGTTATAACAGTTGATAATAATAGCTACTAATTATAAATCCTTGCATAAAACTAAACATAACTGTCAAGATAACTTCTCAACCATACTACATTACTCTGAACACTGCAAAGTATATCTGATTATCATGAACTCTGGGGACTTATTTTTTTTATTATGTTATGTTAATCACCATACATTATATCATTAGTTTTTGACTCATTATTTGCGTATAACACCCAGTGCTCCATGCAGAATGTGCCCTCTTTAATACCCATCACCAGGCTAACCCATCCCCCCACCTCCCTCCCCTCTAGAACCCTCAGTTTGTTTTTCAGAGTCCATAGTCCCTCATGGTTCATCTCCCCCTCCGATTTGGGGGACTTATTTTTAATCCAGGAAGCTAATTTCTACAAAATATAAATAGTCCATTCCAGAAAAAAAGCTTTGCTATACACAACTAACCATATTAGATATATTTGTCAGTGCCCATGTGTAATTGGTAGAATCTTGGCTTCAAAACAAAGATAGATTTTTACCTTTCTTTCTAGCCTGTCCTTCAAAGAAATTATGGAAATATTCAAACTTTGATAGTTAACTTACTTACAACCCAAATGCAAAGGTATAGTCTTTATTTTTTTTTTTTTTAAGATTTTATTTATCTATTTGACAGAGGGGGTGGGGGAGCACAACCAGGGGGATCAGCAGACAGAGGGAGAAGCAGGCTCCCTGCTGAGTAGGGAGCCCAACATGGAACTCGATTCCAGGACCCTGGGATCATGATCTGAGCTAAAGGCAAGACACCCAACCGACTGAGCCACCCAGGCACCCCAGGTATACTGCTTTATAAACCACGATGCAAAAGTAGCTACAAACAATCTTTCCTCTATTCAACAGATTTCACTGTTTCTTACTAAACCTGCTAAGGGCATAAATATGTAGTTACATTAAGGAAGAAACACTGGGGCACCTGAGTGGCTCAGTTGGTTAGGCAACTGACTCCCGATTTCGGCTCACCTCACAATCTCAGGGTCGTGGAGTCGAGTCCCATATCAGACTCTGTGCTGAGCCTGGAGCCTGCTTAGGATTCTCTCTCCCTCTCCCTCTGCCCCTCCCCTCACTCTCGCACACTCTCTCTCTCTCTCTCTCTCTCTCTCAAAAATAAAAAAAAAGTAAGAAAGACTTACACATATGCACATAGAAGACTATGATAGGCTGTAAGAGGTGGATAATCCAATCCCCAATACTGTAAATTGTTATCACTACTGTTAAAATACCTGGAAAAAAAAATGAAAGCAACATTCCATTAATCAATATTCAAGAAATAGACTTATAATTTAATATCTCATTTAATATAATTAAAATGAAAAAAATGTTATTCAAGGTCAAAAAAATTCATCTAAACTTTTGTCTATTCCCCTTCACTTAAAATTTTTTGTGAAATCACAAAAGTTTTTGAGTAGAGTAAGTAAATAATTTATTGTCTAAACCAAGACACTCTTGAGAGTAAAAGAGGAAGTTATTAATAATTAAGCCATAACAAGAAATGTAAACCAAGTTTGTACCAAGCAAACCAGAACTTACTGTCACTCTATTAATAAACTGATGATTAACATGTACACAACAAAAAAATATGCAACAAAGAAAGACCATTCACTTCTGATAATCTAACAAATTAGAGAAACAATATGAAATCAATTTAAAAAAGTAAAAATATCAGTAACAAAGAACACACAAAGATTTGATTTATGTAAAGAGAAATACCTCATGGAACAGGTAGACTTTTTTTTTTTTTTTAGGATTTTTAAGTAATCTCTACACCCAACATGGGGCTCAAACTCACAACCCCGAGATCAAGAGTCACATGCTCTACCAACTGAGAGAACCACGCACCCCAGAACAGGTAGACTTTCAATAAGACTTTGAAAACAATTTAACCAACTTATAATGAGAGCCTATTACATGCAAGATTCTGTGAACTGAGGAAGAAAACTAGGTCTAACATCTGTAAATTAATAGACTCCTAAAGTTGGCCAGAATGCAAAGGCACGATATACAACTACTATGACTGAAGAAATGAAAACTAAGTTTACATAAACAGATTCCTTAATTATATCCTTTATAACTAAGGAGCTTCTTCTATCCAACTTATTTTCTCAGTCCTAAGAATAATTTACAGTAATGGAGACCAAACTATATAACCCACAAATAATCAGTGTTCATAACCTGTTTCAAATGGGTCACAATTTTTTAGTGTCACAATCCCTTAATTTGGGATTAAAATTTTTTCTTTTAAATTAACATTCAAGGGCACCTGGGTGGCTCAGTCGTTAAGTGTCTGCCTTCAGCTCAGGTCATGATCCCAGGGTCCTGGGATCGAGCCCCGCATTGGGCTCCCTGCTCAGCCGGGAGCCTGCTTCTCCCTCTCCTGCTCCCCCTGCTTCTGTTCCCTCTCTCGCTGTGTCTCTCTCTGTCAAATAAATAAAATCTTTAAAAAATAAAAAAAATAAACATTCAATCTCATTAAATAATCTATTGTTCATCTTCAGAAGGTCTGCTCTGCTTAGTCACATAAATTGTAGGTTTGTATGGAAGGGATGGGGATTAATAAAATGATCAAGGCATGCTGCACAGCCAAGAGATGTGGGCATAGGGTACTACAGTATGTACCATCTGGCAGTAGTTGTCACTCCAGGAGCGACATCCATGTGAACCACCCTACGTCCTATATCTGGCTGGAACTTGAAGCCAAGAGGTAGTGAATCCAAGAATGTCCAAGTTAGTTGGAGCTCCTTTTGACAGCTTGAATCTGGGAAACTGGGCCAGGCTAAGAGCGGAGACCAGAGGACTCACTTCTCTGGTGCCCTGTGAAGATAGGCACCAATTGTGTTATTTCCGAATTCACCTTATTACCAGGTACACTGGCATAAAGTTTTATTGCATCAACCTCACACAGTTGTTGAAGGATTGGGTTAAATACATAAAGCTGTTAAATCATTGCCTGACATACAACAAATACACAATAGTAGTTCTAACTACCTATTAGCCACAAAACTACTGGAAATGGATCTAGCAATGGAAAACCACTTTGACCAATACAATTTCATTTGGCTTTCTGTTTCTTATAAGACAAAAACTATTTTTTGTTTACCTTAACCTTGAGATTCTCTGGAGATAAGTAAAAGAGGCACTGACAGCAAAGATACATACTAACAGTAAAGTCCCTAGTTGAATTGGGAAGAAAGAATGACAGGGCTAACAACCTTTATGGAAAAAGTAGCTTTAAAACATTTCAAGTAGGGTGCCTGGGTGGCTCAGTCAGTAAAGCATCTGCCTTTGGCTGAGGTCATGATCCCAGGGTCCTGGTATCCAGCCTCATGTCAGGCGCCCTGCTCAGCGGCGAGTCTGCTTCTCCCCGTCCATTTACCCCTCCCCCCTGCTCCTTCTCTCTCTCTCTCTCTCGCACACTCTGTCTCTCTCTCAAATAAATAAAATATTTAAAAAATAAATAAATGTTTCAAGTAAAGCTGCAAAATCTACCAGTAGAAACAAAGCAACTAGTTAATTCTCCTGCTTTATATATTTTGGATATATCTGAAAAGTTGTATAAATGCTATCAATATGTTGAAATGTATTTTCCCAACAAATCCCCATATAATCTCAGTAGATGTTTTGTCAGAAAAAAATTGGCTGCCATATGAATTATGAAATTATATTCAAGAGTGTTATTATTAACTTCAAGATACAATTTTTTTCTAATATACAACCCACAATCATGGGTATTTTTACTTTTAAAAAATATATATTTTAAAGTGAAATAGTTTCAAACTTAGAAGGGTTTCAACAGTAGTTCAAAGAACTTCTGTACATCAAAATTTAAAGTTTTTATATGAAAAAAGACACCATAAGAAAAGTTTAAAGACAAGAACAAACAGGAAGATATTTATTTTATACACACACACACACACACACAAAAAATTACTAAAACATAGAATACTGTTGTAGCAGACAGACTTTAAGGTCATCATGAACCCCATCTCCTGTTTTTCATACCCCTGAGTATGTACAACCCCCTCACCTTGAGTGTGGGCAAGACCTGTGACTTGCTTGTAACCAACAGAATATGGCAAAGGTGATAGAAGTCACTCTTGTGCTTATGTTTTATGTATATGTAAGATTCCGTCTTGTTAGCAAGTATGCTAGAGAAGGCTCCTTCCACTGACTGTGAAGAGGCAAGCTGTCATGTTTTAGTAAGTGACCATATTGGAGAAGCCACATGGCAAAAAACTACAAGTAAACTCTAGGAGCTGAGAGTAGCTTCCAACAAGAAACTGAAGCCCCCATCTTATAGATGCAAGAAAATTCATTCTGCCAACAGCTGGAGGTACCTTGGTAATGGTTGCTTCTGCAATTGAACCTCTGAGAAGACTAGAGCCCCAGCTAACAGCAGGATTACATGCAGCCTTCTGAGGCCCTGAGCAGAATATCAAGCTAAGCCATGCCTAGACTTTTGACCTAAAAAAACCTTTGTGATTAAAAAATATGTGTTTAAGTAATTACCATTTGTGGTCATTTGTTAACACAGCATAGAAAATTAATATACAGTAGTCTTCCCTTATCCAGTTTATTCTCTGTGATTTCAGTTACCAGTGGTCAACTGCAGTCTGCAAGCAGGTTGTCCTCCTCACATATCCTCAGGAGGTCAACAGTAGCTTAATGCTATATCACAATGCCTATGTCATTCATCTCACTTCATCTCATCCCATAGACCTTTTATCATCTCACATCATCACAAGAAGAAAAGTGAGTACAGTCTAATAAAATATTTTGAGAAAGAGAAACACATTCATGTAACTTTTATTACAGTACATTGTGATAAATGTTCTATTTTATTACTAATTGTTGTTATTAATCTTTTACTCTGCTTATTTATGAATTAAACATTATCATTGGTATGAATGTATAGGAAAAACCATAGCCTATAGGGTTTGGTGTTATCAATAGCTTCAGGTATCCATTGGGGGTATTGGAGCTTATGCCCCATGGGTAATGGGAGACTATTTTAACTTTATTTAAAAATCATACAAATTATTATTAAGATCAGCAACCCAACAAAAACATGGAAAAAAGATATGAGTATGCAAATTTGAGAAGAAACATGGTGATCAGCAAATATATTAAAAGATGCTCAAATCACAAGTACTCAAGAAAATGGAAATTTTACAAGTCCCGTGTTATTAAGTGTTGATAAATATATGTGGAAAGAAGATATTCTAGTGTTGGTATCCATTAAAACTACTTCAGAGATTCCACTTCTAAGAATCTACCTAGAAAAAACATGTGCACAGGGAAAATATACTTTATTTAATCATTCCCCTACTAAAAGATATTTTAGAGTATTTCAGGTTTCTCATTACTATAAACAATGCTGAAATAAGCAGCTATGCCCACCAATTCTTTTTTTTTTTTAATTTTATTTATTTATTTGACAGAGAGAGGGACACAGCGAGAAAAGGAACACAAGCAGGGGGAGTGGGAGAGGGAGAAGCAGACTCCCCGCCAAGCAGGGAGCCCGATGTGGGGCTCGATCCCAGGACCCCGGGACCATGACCCGAGCCGAAGACAGATGCCTAACAACTAAGCCACCCAGGTGCCCCCCAATTCTCTTGATTTATAAACCTGTGATTTCATTTAGAAAGCAACAAGCTCAGGGTAGGTGGACTCTTCCCCTAACCCCAGGTATAAACCATGCCTGCACTGAGCCAACCATTTCTTTTTAATAATGATTGCTTTAAATGTGGGAAAGAAGGGAGGCTGGGTGGCTCAGTTGGTTGGGCAACTGCCTTCGGATTGGATTGTGATCCCAGGGTCCTGGGATCGAGCCCCGCATCAGGCTCCCTGCTCCGCGGGAAGCCTGCTTCTCCCTCTCCCTCTGCAGCTCTCCCTGCTTATGCTCACTCTCTGTCAAATCAATAAATAAATCTTTAAAAATTAATTAATTAGGGCGCCTGGGTGGCTCAGTTGGTTGAGCGACTGCCTCTGGCTCGGGTCATGATCCTGGAGTCCCGGGATCGAGTCCCGCAGCAGGCTCCCCGCTCGGCGAGGAGTCTGCTTCTCCCTCTGACCCTCCCCCCTCTCATGTGCTCTCTCTCATTCTCTCTCTCTTTCAAATAAATAAATAAAATCTTTAAAAAAAATTAATTAATGTGGGAAAGATTTTGCTCCTTGACAAAAAGAAAGGTAGAAAGATGGTATTCCTATTATTCTTGCCTTGAACATGGTTGTATAAAGTTACAATGCTTGTAGCCTGAGCAATCATCTACTGACCATGGAGTGAGTACACTCAGGATGAAAAGCCAACATGTCAAGAAGAAAGAATGGCAGAGAGGAAGGAATGATAAAAGCCTGAGTCCTGGATTGTTATTACTGAGCCACTTTACCAGCATTACAATGACCTACTTCTTGAGATAAGTGAATTATTTTATTGCTTAAGCTACTATTACTCAAGTTTTCTATCACTTGATGCCAAAAGTCCTGATTCCACACATAAGGAATTTTCATTATAAAATTTATCATAAAATTAAAGAAATAAGTTCTATTTTCCTTCTTAAAATAATACACAATGAATAAATAATAAAAGTTTTCTTTTAATTTAGAATTATCAAAACTAACACTTTTAGGGGCGCTTGAGTGGCTCAGTTGTTAAGCGCCTGCCTTTAGCTCAGGTCATGATCCCGGGGTGTTGGGATCGAGCCCCGCATCCGGGTCTCTGCTCCGCGGGAAGCCTGCTTCTCCCTCTTCCACTCCCCCTGCTTGTGTTCCTGCTCTCGCTATCTCTCTCTCTGTCAAATAAATAAATAAAGTCTTTAAAAAACAAAAAAATTAACACTTTTAAAGTTAACATGACCAATCCTGATATCATATTTTAAACAACTATGTCACTTGGAAAGAGTTTTGACTAATTACAGTATAGCTTACTCTAAGTAAAAAGAGAAAGACCTCACTCTTGGAAAACTGAAGTAAAAAATAAGAAATCACACATTCAAACATGAGTCTGAAACAGATAAGTTTCTCTTAGAATTGTCAGGTGTACATTTTTGGCTTTTCTAGTCTATCCACTAATAAAGAGAAAATTTCTGACATTTATTGTACTAAATCATATTTCTTAGATTTCTTATGAACTTTGTGAGGTACTACACAATCGACTAATGATAAATCATACTTCTTTATATCATATGTCTCTGTTTCTGAGCCTACCATTCAGGATTCTCAAGCTACACACTGCCTAATAAAGATTTCAACATTATAAAATTTACCACCATGATTACTTTAGACATTTCATAATATTTAAGGCTCACAGACCACAGTTAAAACTGAATCACATAATTATATCTGAGGTATACATTTCTGGTTTTTAACAAAGAAAAAGAATGAAAATGTATACATGTAATCAACTCTTGATTATCTGGGCCAAAGTAGGAGACAATTGGTACAAAAAACTGAAAAATGAGATATATGTATTAGAATAACCCACCCAGAATGAAAATGTATACATGTAATCAACTCTTGATTATCTGGGCCAAAGTAGGAGACAATTGGTACAAAAAACTGAAAAATGAGATGTATGTATTAGAATAACCCACCCTCCATACTGAATTGAGATTATATTCTCACTCCTGGAATCAATGTTTTCTCCACTAACATTAAGCCGAATGCTGCAATTTATACTCTTCTGTAATCTTTCAATACTAAATATCACAATTACTTTTATATCAAAATCTTTGTTGAGAAGTACTTACCATAGAATAGTCAAAAATACAATTATCTTTTCCATGTAATTTTACAAAGGAATAAAAAAGAATTACAAAACTCAAAAGCAATAAGCTGGTTTCTCTCAGCAAATATTACCTTATTCTATCAATCAAGCAAGAGAAAAACACATTAAGAATGTACTAGTAATTGGAACAATAATACTCATTGGTTAAATCATTGTATGAGGATATGAAAGATGCTCAAAATAGTACAATAAAGAATAGTGCCAAATATTTATCTGGTCTCTATTTTAAATGCTCTCCGACTAGGGTAGAGCCTACCAACCTATTAATAGGGAGTTTAATATGAAGTTTGTGCATGAAACTCTCTCATAAATGAACTATATAAAAGCAGTGACAAAGAACAAAGAATCCTAAAATGTTTATGGAACCATAAAAGACCCCAAATAGCCAAAGCAATTTTGAGAAAGGACAAAGCTGGAGGTATCTCATTCCCTGATTTCAAACTATCAAAGCTATAATAATCAAAACAGTATGGTACTAGCATGAAACAGACACAAAGATCTGGAAAGAAATGGAAAAGAATAGAGAGCCCAGAAATAAACCTATGGACATAAGGTCAATTAATCTATGACAAAGGATGTAAGAATATTCAATGGGGAAATGACAATCTCTTCAATAAATGGTGTTGGGAAAACTGGACAGCTACATGCAAAAGAATGAAACTTGACCACTATCCTACACCATACACAAAAATAAATTCAAAATGTGTTAAGAACTTGAATATAAGACCTGAAACCACAGAACTACTAGAAGAAAACATAAGCAGTAAGCTCTTTGACATTGGTCTTAGCACTGTTATTTTTGGACCAATCCCCTAAGGCAAGGACAACAAAAGCTAAAATAAACAAACAGGATTACATCAAACTAAAAAGCTTTTGTACAATGAAGGAAATCAAGAACAAAACAAAAAGGAAACCAACTGAATGGGAGAAGATATTTGCAAATCATATATCCAGTAAGGGGTTATATCCAAAATATATAAAGAACTTACACAACTTGTATCAAAAAACAAACAACCAAATTAAAGAACAGGCAGAGGACTTAAATAGCCATTTTTCCAAAAAAGACATACAGATGACCAACAGGCACATAAAAAAGGTGCTCAACATCACTAATAATCAGAAAGATGCAAATCAAAACCACAATGAGATAACATCTCATCACACTGGTCAGATTGGCTAATATCAAAAAGATAAGAAACAAGTGTTGGTAAGGACATGGAGAAAAGGGAATCCATGAACTGCTGGGAATATAACTTGGTGCAGCCACTATGGAAAACAGCAAGAAGGTTCCTCAAAAAATTAAAAATAGAACTAGCATAAAATCCAGCAATTCTACTTCTAGGTATTTATCCAAAGAAAATGGAAACACCAATTAGAAGAGATATATGCATCCCTATGTTCACTGGAGCATTATTTACAATAGCCAAGATACGGAACCAACCTAAGTATCCATTGCTAGATAAATGGATAAAGACAATGTGGTATACAAGTAACTCTTGAACAATACAGAGGTTAGGGGCCTCGACCTGACACAGTTGAAAATCCATGTATAACTTCTGACTCCCCAACACTTAATTACTAATAACCTGTTGACTGGAAGCCTGAGTAACATAAACAGTTGATTAACACATATTTTGTATGTTTTATGTATCATATACTGTATTTTTCCAATAAAGTAGAGAAAAGAAAATGCTATTAAAATCATAAGGAAGGGAAAATACATTGATAGTACTGTACTATATTTATTTTAAAAATCCGTATATAAGTGGACCTTTGTAGTTCATTCAAATCTGTGTTGTTCAAGAGTCAACTAAATAGGGGCGCCTGGCTGACTCAGTTGGTAGAGCATCCAACTCTTGGTCTCAAGGTTGTGAGTTCAAGCCCCATGTTGGGTGTAGAGATCACTTAAATAAATAAAACTTAAAAAAAAAAGGGTCAACTGAATATATGCAGTGGAATATTACTCAGCCACAAAAAAAGAACAAATTCTTGCCATTTGCAACAACATGGATGGACCTAGATGGTATTATGCTGAGTGAAATAAGTCAGACAGAGAAAGACAAATACTGTGTGATTTCACTTATGTATGGAATCTAGATAACAAATGAACAAAACAAAACAAATACAGATTCATATAAACAGGAAACTGTTGGTTATCAGAGTGGGAAGGGGTTGTGGGGTGGACAAAATAGGTGAAGGGGATTAAGAGGTACAAACTATTTATAAAATAAGTAAATCATGGGGATATAATCCACAGCACAGGGAATATAGTCAATAATATTATAATAAGTTTGTAGAGTAACAGATGGTGACTAGACTTATCATGGAGATCATTTCATAAAGTATAAAAATATTAAATCACTATGATGTACACCTGAAACTAACAGGATTTTTTATGTCAATTATATTTCAATTTAAAAATAATAATAAATGTATTTTAACTTTGAAAAAAAAGATATCATATAATTTCCTCACATAAAATCCCACAAAATGGTTCTTTTGGATTCTAATGACTCGAATAATTTATCAACATACAGAAAAAAAAAAGCAGTGACTAAAGCAATCAACAGAACAATGCAAACAGTTTGTGTAGCCAGTCTCTCATAAAATAATTAGGCATCCAATAAGTCAATAAATAAAGTCATCAATTGTTACCAGAATATGTTTGATAAAAATGACAAACAAATTTCTGTAAAGATATAACCACACCTAACATTTCCTGAAAGCTCATTTTGTTGCAGACACTGGTCTAAGTGCTTTACATGTATCATTTTATTCAATCCTCATAATAATCCAGTGAAATATGTACTCTATCATTTCCACTCTACAAGTGATAAAACCATGGCAGAGAAATTAAATAATTTCACCAAAGTTCACACAGCTAGTAAATAGTAGAGACAGGATCTGAACTCAGGCGGTCCAACTTGAGCACCAACGTTCCCTACCACTAAGCTACTGCTCGTTCATATCTCATTCACTCCTAATAAAGAAACTTTGCAAAACCACCTGGAAAAATACTGCTAGCCCAGGATGGTTCTTCAGTTTATGTCCAGAGGAGCCTCTAAGGTATATAGCATTCTATCCTCAAAGTTCTTAGCATATTCCAGCTGCTGAGTACATGGGTAACTTTCAGGAGTATAAAATTTCAAAGATGAGCCTATAATATGCAAGGTAATACAAGAAAATGAGGATGCTGAAGATGAATAGCATACTTTCCTTTTAAATTATCTTAAATAATCTGTATTAACTATGATAAACAATAAAATCAAGTTAAAATGATCCATACCATTGTTTGACTGGTAAATTAAAAGTAATTTCTTGCCAGTGTCTCTGAGCTTCATAATCACCAAACATCGGGGGTTTTCCAGCACCTAGATGAAAGGTAAAAAGAGCCAGACAAAATATACTTTACTGTATCAATGATATTTATTTCCTTATGAAAATTGTCTAAATTATAGAAAGGCAGCGTCGGTTAAAGAACAGAGACATTACCGGAACAGCAGAGATGAGGTGTGAATCCTAGCACTGCTAGTACACTGAGTGACTGTGTGACCTTGGACAAATTCCTTAACCTCCCTAAGCTTCCGCACATTAAAAACAGAATATACCCAGGGGCGCCTGGGTGTCTCGGTTGGTTAAGCGTCTGCCTTTGCCTCAGGTCATGATCCCAGGGTCCTGGGATCGAGCCCCACATCCGCTCCTTGCTCAGAGGGGAGCCTGCTTCTCCCCTGCCTGCCGCTCCCCCTGCTTGTGCTTGCTCTCTCCCTCTCTGTATCAAATATATAAAATCTTTAAAAAAGAAATACAAGCTATTGTTAACATTAGTTAATAATACTAATTATAAAATATCCAAGTTTATTTTTACTTCATGAGAAAGACTATCAATTATACTGTCCGGTAAGTATCTAAAACAATAATAATAATGAGTATCTATATTTTACAAGGGGCTTTTGCAAACTAAATATAAATAACTGAAGGTCAAGCATAGAACCAAAACCAGACTATATGTCACAAAGACATTTGTTAGGTCAGGCTTTGCTGTCAAATGACTGATATAAAGACTGTCGGTTTACAGCTTTTTTTTTTTAATTTAAAAATTGCTAATAGGGATAATGAATCTTTAATAACTAACAATTGATAGCACCTACTATGTGCCAGATACAGCACTGAAATAAGTATTATTATTAGCCCCACTTTACAGCTGAAAAAACAGAGGCAGTTCACCCAGGCATCAAGTAGCAGAGTCTGGATTTGAACTCAGGCAAACTGGCTCCATAATCCATGCTTTTAACTCCTACTTTATATTGCTCACAGCTTGGTTAAGTAGGTTATTAACCTTAAGTCATGTTAAATGACATAAAGGTAATTCCATTTAGTAAATAGTAAACATCCACTATTTAACCAGCAAGTAACTACAAAATTGTGAGAAGCCCAGACATGTACAGTACAGTCACAGGTTTTTAAATCAGCAACTGAAAACCACATACAAATATACTCAATAATCCATTAGTTATTAATTAATGCCACATTGCAGAATGATATATTAACACTCATTCAAATCCAACCCAGATTTTCTCCAGTTTTGGAACACTACATTAAGTAGGGCTTTTTGCATGTAATGACTACATTATACCAATATTCTTTAATGGCTAGCATCTTCACCTAAGGAGATATCCCCACTGTTGAGATAATCACGGGAAAAGCAGATTAACATCTCCAAAGCATATATAGAGAGTGACTATCACAAGCAATTACCCACAGTACACAGACACACGTATACACACACACCTGTCCCTCTCTCAAAAAATACCATCTTTTTCATTTTTGTATTCTCAGATGTAAGGGCAAACTGGTAGATTCTCAGTGAAATGATGCTGAAGCAAGAATACTGATACAATCAGTGTGATATAGCAAGGATTTTAAGTTCAAAAATTTGAAATTTTGAGTCCCTGATTTTCCACTTACCATACGTGCAACATTAAGCAATTTGTGATGGCAGACCAAATTATGCTGACTATTCTAATACAATGCCCATTTATTGGTTCTTGCCCAAAACATCTTTGTCATTGTCAGAGACTTTAAAATTCCAAGCCTCTGTTCATGCTGCTTACTCCCTGTTTATACATCCCTTCCATTAACTCATATCCAATCTTTAAGAATCACCTCAAATTCCAAATTCTCCATGAAACCTTCCTTATAAATTAAAAACACATTGTTTGCTGATTTTTTTTTTATTTGAGAGAGAGAGGGACAGCACTAGCAGGGAGGGGGGCAAAGGGAGAGGGAGAAGCAGGCTCCCCACAGACTACAAAGCCCAACACGGGGCTTGATCCCAGGACAGTGATCATGATCTGAACCAAAATCAGATGCTTAATTGACTGAGTCACCCAGGAGCCTCCATTGTTCACTGATTATTTACTTCTCATAATACTTATATTTTCGTATCACCTATTTTGTCACATGACTATACTATTTCCTAACTGCTACCCAACTAAGAATTTTAGTTCCTATGAACAAGAGAATATGATTTTCCAGAGTTCAAAGGAAACATTGGTATATACATACTTTCATTAAAAACTTACTTAATTAACTGAACAGGAGAGGGAGAATAACCTTTTTTTTTTTAAGTTAAAATATCCCCAGGGAACTGCAACTTTTGCATGTGCATTTTATAGGATAGGAATGTGTGTTTCGGGACACCTGGGTGGCTCAGTCGGTTAAGTGTCTGCCTTTGGCTCAGGTCATGATCTCAGGGTTGTGGGATCAAGCCCCGCATCGCATCGTGCACCCTGCTCAGTGGGGAGCCTGCTTCTCCCTCTGCCTGCAACTTCCCCTGTTTGTGCTCTCTCTCTCTCTGACAAATAAATAAATAAAATCTTTAAAAAAAAAAAGAATGTGTGTTTCTACTTTAAGGAATATAACCATTGTCTATGGCTTCTTTTGTGGGGGGGAGGAGTTGATTTCTATTTTTTGTTTGTTTTGTTTTTGTTTGTTTAGTTCCACTGGGATAATAAAAGTCAGAGAGGATCTTAGGTAATTTTCTACACCTGAAAAAATCCAACTATCTAGATTTTCTGAAATTGCTCTAGACGGGTGGTCAATGTGGAAGAATTTATTACCATTCTCTAACAAATAGAAGAATGGATAATGACTCTCTTTAGGGTTGAGAAACAAGTTTCTATCCAGAGTCTGACCTACTTCAATAAATCCAGCTGACACTGGCTATGAAATTAGTACTTAAGTTTTTAAAACTGCTAAAGTGCCCTTAAAGCAACCCAGAAGGACAACCCAACTGTACCTGTGGGAGATTCACCTGGGAAGGACAAAAAGGATTCCTTCCACAGTGATTAATTCTACAAATTCATTTACATAAAATTCAGAATTACATAAAGAAAACACACTAATATATATTCATGGAGTTTCAATTTTGTTCTCAGGAAAATGGGCTTAAGCAGCACTTAGATATTCATTTTATCAATTGTTGTTGAATTATTCAGAATTATGCTATAATTTAAAAAACAAGTAGTTTCTTTGATAACAATACATTCTAACTGCCTTTACATTTAAATTTTAAACATTCTAAGAAAAGAGAATTTGGCTAAAATTTTCCAGAACAAAATCCCCCTTTTATATGTTCTTGGTAAGAAGAAACATTATAAACAGCAATGGGTAACCTGAGAGAAACTAAGCAATAAAATAAACATTTTTTTTTTTTTTAAAGATTTAGTTATTTGAGAGAAAGAGAGAGAGAGGGAGAGCGCATGAGTGAGGGGAGAGGGAGAGGGACAGTCTTCAAGCCGACTCCCCACTGAGTGTGGAGTCTGATCCCAGGACCCTGAGATCACGACCTGAGCCAAAACCAAGAGTCAGATGTCTAACTGACTGAGCCAACCAGGTGCCCCAAAACTAATTAAATAGAATACAGTCATACTTTAACAATGATTGATATGTTGCAAAAAATAAAAAATAAAAAAAGATTCTCTATGGCTTATCCCTCCTAAACAGCCAATAAAACTTTGCAGGGAAAAGAGTATTAGAATAAAATAACTTTCCTTGGTTCAAGTATTACTATTTGCTCAACAACTATAGAGAAACCGTGAATCTCTACAAGACATAAGAAACAATCAATACTAAAATCAGAATTTGTTTCCTCCCTGGGGCTCCTGGTTGGCTCAGTTGGTAAAGCATGAGACTCGATCTCAGGGCTGTGAGTTCAAGCTCCATGATGGGTGAAGAGATTACTAAAACATGAATACCCCCCCAAAAAAAGAATTTATTTCCTCCCAAAGCTTGTTTAAAAGTAATAAGCAGGGGTGCCTGCATGGCTCAGTCCATTTAGAGTGGTTCAGCATCTGCCTTTGGCTCAGGTCCTGATCCCAACATCCTGGGATCGATCTGCGGCTCCTTGCTCAGCGGGGAGTCTGCTTCTCCCTCCCCCAGCTCCTGCGAGCACATGCCCACGCGGTCGCTCATGCTCTCTCTCTCCTCCCCTCTCAAATAAATAAATATTTTTTAATTAAGTAAATAAAAATAACAAGCAATATTTATTCAATATTTTTAGGTCTGTAAAAATCAATTACATGAGCAGCATTTAAGTTACGGGTATAATGTAAATATGTAAGGGGTACACATTTTAGAAAAATTTAAATTACAATACACATAAGTAGTTTGTCTATACAATATATGCATTTCCAAAGGAAAAATAATGGATTAATACTAAGCAAGCTAACCTGAGCTTCCTCACTTGAGTGCTTCCTAATTACAATCTTAAAACAAGATAAATGAAAAACAAATTAAAATAAGCATGTTAAAAAGAAATTATAACAAAAAAGGTATTTTAATTAAGAGAAAAAAATCTCAGCAGAATCACAGATGTCATACTTAATTCTTTAATTCTGCCAGCCTCCCATGATATAGAAGAAGTTCTTTACAAGTGCTAAAAATGTTGTATTTTTTATAATGGGGTTAAGAACTGACAGAATCACAATTTTTCATAGTGCTTAGCACTTTATTCTTCTCATATGAAAAATGACAAAAACATAATAACCACCTATAAGAGATGTCTACAAATATTCTACTACTGTATAATAACAATACTTTTCCTATACAATAATCCAGAAGTAACCCTGTTGACTTTCTTATGGGACAATTTAAGAGTAAAGTTTAAAATAAGCAGGAGTCCTATTTTCCAGATAAAGTAAGTAACTGAGTAAACGCAGACTTTAGGAGAGAAATGTTAGAGTAAATAATGTATGTAGGCCACAGGATAGAAAAGTATCATATATGCTTGTAGTCCTCTACTCAGTTCCCATTAAGCATTTGATTACATATGCCAGTAATACTGAAATAGTGTGATTCCTTAAATTATGTT